CCTGAATCCAGCAAGCTCTGATTCCTCAGCCTTCGTTTTGCATCTTCAGTATACCCCACAGGGTCCCCAGCATGTTCTCATGTTTTGAGTCCAAGTTGCAGATAAAAGCAAGGCACAAGGCCCACCATACCAGAAAGCTGCCGTTTTGCTGAGCATGAGGGGAGACTTCTAGTATTTTGTGCACTGCAGATGAGACCCTCCAAAACTAACACACACACACACACACACACACACACACACACACACACACACACATTATCACCACCACCATCATCGTCAGTTTTCATCTGCCCAGATTACACTGCAACTAAAATGGTGAAACTTACTAAGTAGAGCATCGAAAAAGATTTATTCAGATTGCCTGGGCTGCCATGTCCTCAGACTTTGACTTTACCACCTTCCTGCTTTATAGCATCTTGTAACAAATTGTAGGGATACATGAAGAATGAAACATGGCTCTTGATGATGTGTGAGTGTGATACCAGCCCTACACTGCCTGCCTCTGGCCTTCTGGTTGGTTCAGTCAGAAATATACAATCCCAAACTGAGCATGGTAATGCACAACTGTAATTTCAGCACTCAGTAGGCTGATGCAGGAGGAAAATGAGTTTAAGATCAGCCTGGGTGCCGGATGCTGGTGGCTCATGCCTGTAATCCTAGCTACTCAGGAGGCTGAGACCTGAGGATCACTGTTCAAAGCCAGCCTGGGCAGGAAAGTCCGTGAGACTCTTATCTCCAATAAACCACTAGAAAACTGGAAGTGGCCCTGTGGCTCAAGCGGTGGAGTGCTTGCCTTAAGCTGAAGAGCGCAAGGACAGCGCCCAAGCCCAGAGTTCAAGCCTCACAACCAACCAAAAAAAAAAAAAAATCAGCCTGGGCTACATAGCAAGACTTTTCTTTTCCTTCTCTCTTTCTTGTCAGTCATGGGGCTTGAACTCTGGGCTTGGGCACTGTCCCTCAGCTCTTCAGCTCAAGGCTGGCGTTCTACCACTTGAGCCACAGTGCCACTTTCAGTTTTCTGGTGGTTTATTGGAGATAAGAGTCTCACAGACTTTTCTGCCCAGGCTGGCTTCGAACTGTGATCCTTAAGATCTCAGCCTCCTGAGTAGCTAGGATTATAGGCATGAGCCACTGGCGCTCCGCGACTCTTCTATTTTAAGTCATGTTTAGTGAGATTGTTTTTTCTCTCATTGACAGCTGAAGAAAGAAATTGGGGAACCTTTTTTTGGGGGGTCAGGAGCAGGAGAGGTATTTCTTCTCCCACAACCTTGTTCTCATTTACTTAAATTCAACCCAAAAGAACATTAGTAGACCCCTGTTACACATCTTGACTTGGGTCATTTGCTCCCAGTAAGTTTGCAATCTGATACATGGAATCATGTCCCCTTTGACACGAATTATACCCAGATATTCCATCCATTCATCCATCCAACTATCCATCCACAGGTGCCTGACATCTCACTTCTTTCCCCTCATGTTTTCTGCTCTTGTACTGAAATGCAAATTCAAATCCTCTAACATGCATTTGTTGGAATCTATATCTCATATGTGGTTATGTGGGTTTGGACCTTTTCCCAGTTCCAGTGATTTCAGATGATCAGATGTTCTTACTCATTTGGAATATAGGAGATACCTCTGTGGTTCCCGTTCTGTCAGTAATAGAGCAGAGTCTTCCCTTATCCCAAACGTCTACAACAAGTTCTTAGCATCAAAACTAGGGAAATAACTTTTGCAAAGATAGTATCTCCATTGGCTTGTATCCAGGAGTTTGCCTATGCTTATCTTAGACCACTTAGATTCTGAAAGTTTGAGGTAAGAGTGGGCAATGAGTTCAAATCAATGAGAAAAGGATATCCTACACAACATGTGGCTGGAGATAGTTGGCTTTACATTTCAAAGCAAATGAGTCAGATACTAACCTTAACCCTGTTTTCTGGATTATGTATTAAAAAAATCATGAAGAGCTGGGTGCTGGTAGCTCTCATCTGTCATCCTAGCTACTCAGGAGGCTGAGATCTGAGGACTACAGTTCAAATCCAGCCTGAAAGTGCATGAGACTCCTATCTCCCATTAACCACCAGAAAACCATAAGTGGAGTTGTGACTGAAAGTGGTAGAGCATTAGCCTTGGACAAAAAATGCTCAAGGATAACACCCAGGCCCTGAGTTCAAGCCCCAGGACTGACATAAACAAAACCTAACAACAACAACAAAAAGAATCACTTTTATTTGTCTCTCTTTACCTTGCTATTGTGGGTCTGTATGCATATACATAATATATTAGATTAACACACAAAATTCAAGCCAGCCTTCTTGGTGTTCTGCTCTCCAGCCCTGGTTGAAGATCTCATGGTGCTACGCTATGCCAGTCTCAAGTAGAGCTGATACTTTCTGTGGGCCAGACTTAATGCTGGGCATCAAGGTAAGACAACATCCTCTTCAGGGGGTTCCCAGCTGAACGGCAGTGATGTAGGGGAAGAGATTTCCCTGCGCTAAGTACAGGGCACAATGGGGAGAAAGTTAAGAAGGGATCTATGTTGACTGGGTTGGGGAAGACTTCATCGCCTTTTCTGGGATTTGAACCCCTGGGGATGGTTTGTCTGCACCTAGACCATATAGTTCCAAGAGGAGATCCATTCTCTGGGATAAAGCAGACAACTCAGAAAACCCAGGAGCCAAAAGAGAAGAAGAAAGGTGCAAGTGTTGTAACCCCGAGCCTCGGTTGCTTCCCTAGCTTGCTGGTGACAGAATGCAGCACTGTAGGGGGATCGGGGAGGATTGGGTGGAGGGGTGGGGGGAGCATGGGAAGGGATGGGAAGGGAAAACAAAGGAGGAGGCTGCAATACTTGATAAGAAATGTACTCATTATCTTGCCCATGTAATTGTAACCCCTCTGTACAGTATTTTCACAATAAAAAATAAATAAATAAAAAGAATGCAGCACTGTATAAATCTGGCAGGAGCAGCACATCTTGGGTCAGCTCCCTTCTAGTTTCTGGAAGGCTCTTGACCACTTTCACAATTGGTAGACTTCTGCATTTCCCTCCCCAGAGGCTTGGGAGGGGAAGCCACAGTCCCCTGGTCCCAATCCACAAGTCACCACAATAGCTAGATCCACAAAGTGTACCTGGGGCGTTTCACCCTTCCTTCTTGCTCACTCTAGACTGGGTGGATCCAGCATATCTGGCCCATGTGCTCTGGCACAAGCGCTTTCACCAATGGAACCCAGTGCCATCAGAGATGCCCAGTGCTGGGGCAGGAGTGTGAGGCTGTCACAGAACCCTTGAGGAATTACTCCACTGAGCTCAACTGCTTTTGAAGCTCAGTGAAGGACAGGTACCCATTGTCCCTTTGGGTCGGATGGGAAAGAGAGACACAGAGAGGACAAGGGAACTTTCCCTAGGTCCAGGGTGACAAAAGCCAGGGCTAGCTCAGGCTCATGGCCCTTGGCCAGTACTCTTTGCATTAACTGTCCAAACTGAGGTGGTAGGAGATGCCCCTGTGGACCGAGGAGGTCCAAGCACAAATGACCACCGAAGAATCTCCAGACACCTGCCTTAATGTCACTGCCCTGGTCCTTTCCTAACCAAAGGTAAAGTGACACTTCTAATCATCACCCAGCAGGGAACCCTTCCCTGCTCATGGACCGCCCCCCCCTCACACGCGCACGCACGCGCGCACACACACACACATGTGCACATACACACATGCAAATCCAAAGCTGGACTATTAGAAGGATAGAGAGGGAAAAAAAGAAAAGGTTCCTTTCCCCAGCTTTCACAAAACCTTATTTCCTTATTATTTCGACTTCTTCCTCCCCATCTCTCCAGCTTTAGGCTCCAGCCACAGACAACTGAAAGGAACTTTAAGAACCATCTAATCTGACCTTTTATTCTCACTCTAGAGATAGGGTAGAGGGGGGTGCTGTCTTTACTCAGCAGCCAAGTGATCTTGGGCAAGGCTGTACAGCAGCTCTGGATCTTGGTCTAGCCAGCATAGAAATGGAGGTGCTAACCATCATAGAAAGAACACAACTTGACTGGAACACAGCAGGCTTTTAGGAAGTTCAGGCTAGCCTTCCTCACTTCCCCAGGCTGGGACAACTTAAGAGGGAAAGAAACTTGGACCTGAGCTTCTCAACGAATCCAGAGCCATGGAAAGAACTGGAGTCCTACTATGACCCTGCTTTGGGTCACCGAACACAAAATAAACTGGAAAGGAGTTTTAAGAATATGTATCCTGCCAGGCGCCAGTGGCTCACACCTGTAATCCTAGCTACTCAAGAGGCTGAGATCTGAGGATCATGGCTCAAAGCCATCCTGGGCAGGAAAGTCCATGAGACTCTTATCTCCAATGAACTAGAAAACTGGAAGTGGTGCCGTGGCTCAAGTGGTAGAGTGCATGTCTTGAGCTGAAGAACTCAGGGACGGCACCCAGGCCCAGAGTTCAAGCCCCACAACTGTTTAAAAAGAGAGAGAGAGAGAATATATACCCCACTCCGTATTTTTCCTTGGTGGAACTGAAGCCCAGAGATCTGAGGTGACTTCTCTTGTCAGCAAGAAGTCTTGAGTATTCAACCCAGGTTGAGTGTGGATCCAATCATTTCTCAATCCGGGTGTATTCTGGAATGGCCAATCCGTCCACGTCATTGTGACCTAGGCCCATGCGAATGGAAGTCACAGCTGTGGGCCTCTGCGTAGAGAACAGCTGTTCTCCCTTTTTTCATCAAGAAGCAAAGGCATTGTATTTCTTTTTTTACAAAAAAGGAAAGAGAGAGGTAGCCCATTCTAAAAATAGTAAAATGAGTTCATATTTTACCAGTTCTTTGCTTAGCATGCAAAAAAAAAAGGCAGAAAATTGAAGCCTGTTGAATGTGTATGTTTTTGGGTGGGAGGAGTTTGAATCACCAGCAACCTTACCGGGAAATCTGTTTGTGGCTTTATAAGTGGGGAGATCTCTCAGTTGAGCCCAAATATAAAAAGGGGCCAAAGGTCTGTTTATCAGGGGCTTGCTCTTGCAATACTAAACCACAAGGCAGTCTTGCAGGAGAAAGCAGAATTCAGCCATGCACAGCTCAGCACTGCTTTGTTGCCTGGTCTTACTGGCTAGAGTAGTGGTCAGTCAAGGTGAAGATACCCAGTCTGAAAATAACTGCACCCTCTTCCCAGCTGGCCTGCCACACATGCTCCGAGAGCTCCGAGCTGCCTTTGGCAGGGTGAAGACATACTTCGTGAGTATGAAACCCACCCATTCTTTCTTCCTGGGACTGTCTGAGCTAGGCATTCTGCTGGAGCTAGAGGAAAAGCCCTCTTCCTCTTCCTCCTCCTCTTGTTCTATCCCTTTCAACTTACATGCTTAAGTGAATCCTAGATCAAGGAGTTAAGATGAAGCCCAGATGTGCAGGTAAACCTACCTATAAGGTTGAATGCACTGTTTCTCCCCTATATTCAGAAACTTTCTGTAAGATTTCGCTGGAGCTTTAGGCTTCATCGGTGGGGAGACATTAAGAAGGATCTGATTGGAGGGGAAGGTATTTCCCATACCTTATGGCAGGAAAACAAATGGTTTCTGTTTAGTCCCCAAATCTGAAAGCCTAAGTTTGGGAACAGCATTGAGTTGGGGAGGAACCTGCATTGGGAGATGTTTTCTTCTTCCCAGAGAGCTCTCGGGAGCTGGAATAGACTGTCCACAGTAGATACAAAGAAAAGTAAAGGATATGCAAAAAGCTTGTGGACTGCAGGACTCCTATAGATGCCCTCGGTACCTGACAGAGCTCTTCAGAAAGAGCCCTATGGAAATTTCTGCCTTTTCATCAAAATTAGCAAGTTTAAAAAAGAAGAAAAAAAACAACCCTGATCCTGAGAGGGAGGATCTGATTTAACCTTTACTTTCACCACTGTCAAATTGTTGTTGTAATGTTCCTTTCAGTTTGGGGATCAGGGCTACATGGATTACAAATCAAAGACAATAACTAAAAAGGGATCAGGAAGACATGCATTTCAGCTGCTTCTCCAAGCCTCACCCACTCTCTCTGCTTTTGTTCTTGCAGCAAACAAGGGATCAGCTGGACAGCATGCTGTTAAGCCAGTCCCTGCTGGAGGACTTCAAGGTGAGAACAGGCACAAGCCTCCTTAGAGGAAAGCGGGCATTGCTTGCTTGTGACTGCGGGAGCTGGGCCACTGCCTTGGTTTTGAAAAGGAGAAGTGGGAAGACCTTAACTCAGCATATCACCAGTAGCCAAGGGTTACAAAGGGCTCAGTCCTAAAAGGCAGAAGGGGGGTGGGGGGGAACAAAGCTGACCCCTTCAATCTAGGTCCAGCAGCCCTTTCTCCCAGTCAGCACCCTCCCAACCTTTGGCTCCTGTCCTTAGGGTTACCTGGGTTGCCAAGCCTTGTCAGAGATGATCCAGTTTTACTTGCTGGAAGTGATGCCCCAGGCAGAGAACCAGGGTCCAGACATCATGGAACATGTAAACTCCCTGGGAGAGAAGCTGAAGGTTCTCCGGTCACGGCTGCGACGCTGTGTGAGTAGCAAATCCATTCTTTCTCTTTGTAGCTGCCCCCCAGATACCCTGAGCTTCTACAGCCCAGACGAGCCAAGCTTATCCAGAGACACCCACAGAGACCTAGACTGGCAGGGCTGTGTGAATCTGGAAAGACTCCTGGAGTCAGAGTTCTTGCTCATTTCTTTCTGAGCAGGGTTGGGGGTGGCTGCTAGGCATTTACATGTGAAGATTTGCACTCAGCTTTCCTGTTATTTCTGAGTCATTTGTGGGTTATTAACTACTCTCCTCTCGGTTCATGTAAGGGGCCCAGAGGTTCAGGCAGGGCTTCCTCACCTCTCTGGACTTGGGCTGGGACAGCCCAAGACAACGTGCACCTCTGCTTCTCCCAAGTCTTAATGCAACACAACTGTCTGAAAGGCAGGAGGCCACTGTCCCCAGACTAGTGTCCATGACTAATTCCCCCCAGATAATTTATTTCTCCAGCTGACATCATGAGGCGAGCATGGATGCTTTGCTTTCTCCTCTCCTCGATTTGAGGGAATCCCTTGGTGTCTCCTTGCAGGACAGTGCTAGGCAAAAGATGGTTATGTTCCATTCCCCCAAGCACTTAGGAACAGTCCTCCATGGCTGACTTTCAAAGACACAGCCAAAAACAGGAAAATGAGAACATGTGGAGCTTCTAAGAGAAAGCCAAGACCTGGTTCTCCCCACCCACCGCCTCCCCCGCGCCCCAAGCCTTGAAAACACTCCAGTAGCTCCAGGCATGGGCATGCCATCTCTCCGGGGTGGGTGAAGATGAGGGAAGGCCTGTAGGCATGTGGGATGCTTCTGACTCCTTCTTCACATGACCAGCTTGTTCCAGATGTGCCATGAACAGGGGGGCTGAGAGTCAGGGTCATTAACTTTTCTTTCCCCCCCCCCCGCTCTTTTTCTTCTTCTATAGCATCGATTTCTTCCCTGTGAAAATAAGAGCAAGGCAGTGGAGCAGGTGAAGAGCGCATTTAGTAAGGTGAGCTTGGAGGGTGGCCCCGAAGGTTGGCAGAGTATAGCCTCTGCCCGCTCCCCCCAAGAAAAGGGAGTGTGGGAACCTAGCAGATGGGGTTAGCTCCTCAGACAGTGAGCAGCCACCGCCTCGGTTATATGTGTGTGCTGTGAAGTGCCTTTGGGAGTTTCTAAATGACTGCTCCGTGCCTTTGTGGGGTTTAGGTTCAGACAGACCAAGCCGGTGTGAGTGCAGTGAGCTGGGTCCTGGGGAGAGTAACAAAGGAAACAGAAAGTACAGAGTGTGACTTGTTGGGAATCTAGGCTGAACCCACACGTGCATGAAGTCACCCTGTGAATGTGCACGTACAGACACACGGGGACTCACCAGAACTCAGAGTAAGCAAGAAGTAGAGTTGTCACTTAGCTAGAGCGGGTTCACATTCACTTTCCATCTGTCTCTTACACCTCCTAAAATGCCTGAGAATATCTGCTCCCATTACCCAGTGGGGTTTCACACTCCCAACTGCCTGTCAACCTCCATTTCCCAGAAGCCAGGTGGCTTCGGGCCTTCTCGTAGACACCTGGTAGGTGTCTGACAGGGCTCCAACTGTAGAGGACAGGACAGTAGGCCAGAGCCAAAGACTGATGCTCGGTCTGTTCATGGGAGAGAAAAACATTACAAAGTTCTCTCCTTCCATTGTCTTGCTTTCATACCACTTCCTCTTAAATCCTCTCAAATCTGCCTAAGTATCATGTGAGTGTGTGACCTTTAAAGCTGTTGAGAAGGCATCATTCTTAGAGACTGTGATTTGTAAAATCAATGTCCCTTTTGCCTTGTTCCTCAAAGCTGTGCTTAAGGCTAGAAGGAGAGAACAGTCAAGTCACAGCCCCTTCCCAGGGCAGTAAGACATGTCCTCAAAGGGAGCAGGAGCAGTTTCTGCATCCAAGGTCCCTTTGGCTCTTCCACAGCATTTTAACTAAATGTTTCTGTCTCCCTCCCCAGCTCCAAGAGAAAGGCATCTACAAAGCCATGAGTGAGTTTGACATCTTTATCAACTACATAGAAGCCTACATGACAATGAAGCTAAACAACTAAAACACCCAGGATGACGATGCTAATGGACTCCAGGCCATATATTGAAGATCTCTAATACATGACCCAGGTTGCCAAACCAGGTCCTTGGGAAAAAAAACCATCATACCTCTCTCTCCTGGAATATTTATTAACCTCTGATACCTCAGCTTGAACTCTTATTTATTCACTGAGCCTTTCTGTGAACAATTTAGAAAGAAGCCTAATATTAGTCTTTTTCAGTATTTATTATTTTCACCTGTGTTTAAGCTGTTTTTTGGGGTTACGCCCTATGGTATTTAAGTGTTTTAAGAGAAATTGTTAAATTATATGAAGGGAAATAGATTCCTTTGGGGGGGGGCTGAGGCTCCCGTTCCAAGTATGGTCATACTTTCTAGATGCTTTCCATGACCTTCATCTTTATCCCTGGGCTCAAGAGTCCAGGAGCATTTGAAAAGACGCTTATACTCTTAGGAGGAGAAATCAGGGAGTCCCTTTGATGAGTAACCTTCCAGCAGTTCAGAGGGATTTCCCTGACCTCAGTCTACAACCACTTCAGTCTTGAAAGCTGTGGCCAGCTTGGTATATATACATATATGTATATATACATATATATACATATATGTGCATGTATATATACTCATATATCAACCTAAAATTGGTTCTAATAGAACTCAGTTTCAACCAGAAGTAACTCAATTCCACTGGGAATGTTACCTTGTTTGTCTGTCTTCATAGCAGATTTTCATTTTGAATAAATAAATGAGTCTTATTCAAATCATGTTATGGTGTCTGCTAATGCTGTCTGACTAAACGTGTTCCCTCAAAACTCCTAAGAGGCAGAAGAGAAGAAGGGAATAAATTCTATGCTCCACAAGAGATCTCTCCTGAGTAAGGGGGAAGCAGGGAGGAGGGAGAGATCTCCAAACCTGATCAGAAGAAAAAGCTATCCTTACTTTGAAAGCCAACAACAAAGGCCACCATGGGCTTCCTGCAACCCCCACACCGTCCATTAAGATGTAACCCTAAGTCCTGAACAATCAGGTCGGTGTACAAAACTAAGAAAGGTGATTCTGTGCCCACTAAAAATCAAAGCTAGGAAGGAAGGGGTTCATTTGTTTCTTCAAGTTCCAGAGGTCCAGGGGATGTATCCAAAACCAAACCCACCCTGAGGATTAAGAGAAAATACCAACATGTTTCCCAGAATTTAGAGATGGACTCAGTACTCAAAGTTGGTAATAACTTTCCATCACAAACCCTTTCTTTTTCTAGACTTGATGGAGATCAAACCCCAGCACTGTTCACATTCTAGGCTCTACCACTGTACTTTATCAATGAACCTTAGGGGTCTCACTACATAGTTCAGGTTAGCCTCAAACTCTCAGTCCTCCTGCTTTGGCCTCTGAGTAATGGAAAAACAAGTGTGTATCACCATGGCCCACCCTACATCTTTGAGTTGAGATCAGCGGTTAACAGGCAGGACCCAATAAAATAGACACGTCCCACTTAATAAGATCCTCGAAGGACAAAGGCAGCCACTCTCTAAGGCTCCAGACAACAGTGAGTTTGGGTTCTGGCTGCGGTCTGTTGAGGGGGGCCATGGTGTCTGGGGAAGCCCTACTCAAAGCCCCATGACTTGGAGGAGAAGGAGAAACGAATGGGCTGAGTAAACACTGCTCCCCCAAATGCTGCCCAGGCACCCCTGGTCGGGAGAGGGTGGGAGTCAATGGGCTGTGGTCACTTTTTCAGTAAGACCTGACTCACTTCGGTTAAAGTAACCATAGGAAGGAAGTGGGATGCATCAAAGCTGAAATTCTGAAATGCAAGGTTAAGGTTAAGAATGAAGGCTGGCAGAAGATGAGAAGGGTGGATGGAGCCCTCTGTCCAGAACTAGAACAATCCCGAGTGCCCCCGCCTGGAAAGTTCCAGCAGCTGGCAGTGAGCCTATTCATTAAATAGGAAGTTGCACTTCGTCCAAGTGAAACAGGCACCTGAAACAAACAGAAACACATCTGGAAAGGCAGTGTCAGCAATAGCTACCCTTTACTGGCATGTATTTTGAGTTTGGTACGTGTTTAGGTAGGTATAAGTTTTCACATAGAGCTTAAGTATTTGTTTATCAGACATGATATATGGCATTATTATCTCCATTTCCTATAATAGAAAATATAGCTATTTTCTGGGAGATCAAAGTTGTGAGTGTTGTTTGCTTTGTTAGGATTCAGGAAACTAACATTCTATAGATTGTGTTGGAAGTTCAGGGGCTGTTTGTCTGTTTGTTTGGTGCTGGTACTCGAGTTTGAACTCAGGGCCTGAGAGCTGTCTTCTTAGCTTTTTCACTCAAGGCTGGCTGTCATTCTAGCACTTGAGCCACAGCTCCGTTTCTAGCTCTTTGCTGGTGAATTGGAGATGAGGGCCTCTCAGGTTTGTCTGCCTGGACTGACTTCAAACCATAATCCTCAGATGTCAGCCTCCTGAGTAGCTAGGCTTACAAGTGTGAGTCACTAGTGCCTGCAAAGTTCAAGTTTTTTTAACTATTATGTTAATATAGCTGTCTATACCATAAACTGGTCATAGATTAAACTTGGGGAATACTTGTGATTTATATTTCTACATTTCCTCTGTGTATTCCTGACATTTATGTTTATGGTAATATAAACATTATAGTTATTTACCTGCTCCTTTGCCAAGTGTTTTGTATGTATTCATTCATATATTATCACGTAAAACAATGAGATATTAATTATCAATGTCCCTCTTATCCATATGTCGAAGACAAGATCCAAAGAAGTTATATAATTTACATCATTGGTCATTCAGCTACTAAATAGCAGCGTTCATGTTCTTAACAATGATAGTAAACCCCTACATACCACCTTCGTAAATAAATTATTGTATCATTCTTTCTTTCTAATATTATTCTGTTATGTCACCTAAAATTAATATCTAAAATGAACTATACAACCTGACAGGTAGGGACAGGAGGGAAAAATGGAGAGAATGAGGGAAGGGGTGACATTGTCCAGAAGGAAATATACATATTACCTAACTTATGTTATTGTAACCCCTATGTACATCACCTTTATAATAACAATCAAAAAATTGCTATCTACATTGGTACATACTTGTGGTCCCAACTGCTTGACAGGCTGAAGCAGGAAGATCACATGAACCCATGACACCGAGGTCCGTCTGGGTAATGTCATTAAAATATCTCAAAATAAAAATTGAGATGTAGATTGTACATGATCTATGTCCATTATCTTAAGATATTTTCCATTTTTAAGTTCTTCTTCGACTCATCCGTGTTCAGAAGCATGAGAAAAGTCTATGTGACTTGACCCAAAGGAGAATTGAGTATAGCATAAGACATCATTTTTTTGTATCTTTGTATTAATGATCCATTGTATAAATAACAGAAATTTGTATCTCACGGTTTCTAAAGATGAAGAACCAAGAGCAAGAGCTAGAAGTTCTGTCTCAGGATCTGTCATGAGGTTGTAGTAAAAATTACAGCCGGGCTTCTATCCTAAGCTTCAGCTGGGGCTGGAGGACTCATGGCTAAGGAGGTTGATTACATGGGTCTTGGCAGGAGTCCTCAATTCCTCACTGGCTGTTGGCAGGTGGAGCTTCCTTACAGCACAAGAATTGTTCCCAGGACCAACGATCCAAGACAGAAGTAGTTATAGTAGCTTCTATGCTCTAATCTCCGAAATCTCACACCATTACTTCTGCCACATTCTACCTGTTAGAAATGGGTAAGTATAGCCATATTCAAGAAAGAGTTAGAGTCTACCTTTTCTTCCTCTCCTTCTTTCTTTTTTCTTTCTTTTGTACTATAGTTTGAACTCCGGGATTCTCATTTGCTCAACTTGTATTCTTGCTCAGTGGTCACTCTACTACTTGAGTCATGCCTCCAGCCTGGCTTTTTTCCAGTTACTCTGGAGATAGATTCGCACCAGCTTTTCTCCCTGAGTTGGTGTAAAATGGTAATCCTCCAGATCTCAGCCTCCCCAGTAACTAAGATTAGAGGCATGAGCCACCAGCGCCTGACTAGATTCCACTTTTTAAAGGGCAGAGTATCAAATAATTTGTGATATATATATTTTTAAACTGCCACACCCTTCTAAAAATTAAGAGGAAGTCGCATTGTATCACTGGGCTGGTGGGGAAAAGGGAAAAGCTGGGTGAACATCAGTACATACGACTAGATCAACATTACGGATACACTTAGTTTTCAGTCCCATCACCTGCGGGCTAAGTCCAGTGAACTCCTCTGAGCATTGGTGTCTCATCAGGAAAATTAGCAAAATGTCTTCTCAAGTACTATGGACTGACTGAACATTTATGTCTTCCCTCCCCACTCCACCAAGACAAATGTATATTGAAATTCTAATATCCAAAAGTATGGTACTTGAGAACGGAGACTTCTGGGGGTGAGTAGGAGAGGACACTGTCATGATGGTGGGCCCTTCAAGGAATTAGTGTCCTAATAAGAAGAGATGCCAGCTGGGGATGTGGCATCAAATGATAGACTAGCAAGCCCAAGGCCCTGAGTTCAAACCCTGATACTGCTAAACAAGCAAATAAATGAAGTTGAGCACATGAGAAGATACAATAGAGCTGGGCACCGCTGACTAACACAATACCTGGAATCCTAGCTACTCAGGTGGCTGAGATCTGAGGATCACAGTACCAAGCCAGTCCAGAACAAACAAAACAAAACATGAGCCTCTTAAATCCGACGAACTAGCAAAAATAAAAATAAAAAACTAGAAGTGGAGCTGTGACTCAAGTAGTAAAGCACCAACCTTGATGGGGCTGGGAAGGTGGCTCAGTGGTAGAGCGCTTGCCTTGCATGCCTGAGGCCCTGGGTTCGATTCCTCAGCACCACATAAGCAAAAAAGAAAAAAGCTGGAAGTGCGCTGTGGCTCAAGTAGTAGAGTGCTAGCCTTGAGCTGAAGAGCTGAGGGACAGTGCCCAGGCTCAGAGTTCAGGCCCCACGACCAGACCCCCCCCCAAATAAAAAGAAAGAAAGAAATGACCAACCTTGAGCGGGAAAACCCAAGGGAGTAAGGCCCTAAATTTAAGCCCTAGTGCCAGCACCAAAAAATTAAAAAAAGAAAGAAAATATGGCCCAGCACTGGTGGCTCATGCTTGTAATCTTAGCTACTCAGAATGCTGAGATCTGTGGATTACAATGGTTCAAAGCCATCCAGGGCAGGAAACTCCATGTGACTCTTATCTCTGATAAACTACTCAAAAAAAGCTGGAAGTGGTGCTGTGGCTCAACTGGTAGAGCACTCACCTTGAACAGAAGAAACTCAGGGACAGTGCCTAGGCTGAGTTCAAACCCCAGGACCAAAAAAAAAGGAAAGAAAATATGTTGGAACAGACACCATCTTTGTCCCTTCAACACATTAAGGGAAAAGTTCATGTGAGCGTCTATGGAGATGACTGCTGCCTATAAGCCAAGAGAAGATGCCTCAAAGAAAACCCTCCCTTCTGCTGTCTTGATCTTGAACTTTCTAGCCTCAGGACTTAAAAGAAAGTAAGTTTCTGCTGGTTAAACCACCCTTCCAATGGTGCACAGTATATGATAAGGGTATACGGCAGCCTATGCTGACTAATAAGCCAGGTTTGGCATGAGGGCCAAACGGAATCTTTCCAAGTATGAAAACATACATGTATTTTGAATAGGAAGCATACCAATCTGGTTAGGATGGGGATGGGGGGATGGACAACCTGCCTTTGTTCTCTAAGGTCCTTCCCTGCCGAAAG